TCAAATCAAACAGCTAAGCACCTTTCATAAAACGCATTCGCTGTGCACGGTTTGGATAACAGAATTACGCGGCGTAATTTTCTGTTTGTCTATCCCTTAAATCAAAGTTCCTCAAAGTGAGTTGTTGCTTTTATTTCTTTCTCTCTATCTCTTCATTCGCGGCCAGTCGATTTGCTATTCTGTAACAATCTTAGCCATAATATCTACGGCAATATGAAATATTTATGAATGAAATAACTGATGCATCAACTAAACAATATTTTACCATTGCTCTTTATATCGCTCTCTTCATCGCGGCGAATCAGAAAAAATGTAATAGCAATAATATATTTCATAAAAAAAATAAAACGAAATGGTAAAATTTACCGAAACGCAACACACTCGCCGAGAAGTGGAAATGAAAGAAAAATCATTGGCTATTATGCATATCAGAGGCAGCCAACGAAAAGCATTTACCATTTCTCTCTCTCTCTCTCTCTCTCTCTCTCTCTCTCTCTCTCTCTATTTTTCGCTTAGTCAAACGAAGATAGAAGAGAAAAAAACCATATTAATTCAAGAAAATTAAAACGGAATGGACAGTGGTTGGGCGCGTTGCACACTATTTTGCTCACGCTCATTTCATGCCTGGTAGGATAATCATAAGCGCACTGCAAGTGTGTACTTAATTTGTGTTGTGTAATATGTTTTTTTTTTGTCGGAACGAAGCGAAAAAAAAGCAACAACACAGTACACATTTCGCATGTTTGCGTACAAACGGATGAACAGCCGATTGGCAATCAGGTAGAAGAAGAAGAAACGCGGGTGCGCGCGTATATAAAATATAAATATTCATATGAAACAGGAAACACTTTCTTCGATTCAATTAAATTTTCATGCTTAATAGCAAGTCAACGTCTTATGCAGATTGCCATCATGTGTGGTTTTGACCACCGAATGCACGGTAAAGCGCGTTTTGCGTTGATATTATCGCGACAGGTTAGGCATTGATGTAGACAAATGCGTGTGTGTGTGTTTTATCTGACAATGCATTCTCCCGAAAAATGAGTCAAGTTGCGTAACACGCAAAAAACGAGTACAGTTTATCTTTGCTCATGATAAAACGCTTTGCATACCGCACAGCAACAGCAGCAGCAGAAAGAACGGTGTAATGTGTGTGGTTACATGAATATGTTGCACACACTAGTTTGATCGATGTCAGAGATTGGCATCCTTTCTTTATGCTGATCAAATCGTCGTTTAAGTGAAATTTAGCATTCATTCAAATGACTAATGTGCGCTGCCGTTCGGCATTTAGTCACGAGAAAAAAACACACCACATTCAGTGGGGCTGGAGTCACAATTAAAAACCGTTTCATTCAACAGCAACGAAGAAAGAAAAAATTTCGTATAAAAATACACAGTCTTGTACATCATGTATTGCCATTTTATTTCCCAGTTCACATGTGTGTCGTCTATCATTTCAACAGATTTCGTCTCTAACAGCCGTCCATTATTTCATAGATTTGTGTAGATGTGTTTTATTGGCACGAAAGAGAGTTAATTTGTCTATTCAATTTTTTCGCAGCTCGGCTCAATTGCGGTTCGAAATGACGTTGACCCGGCCCATTCATCCAACATCTGATTTTCTGTCGAATCGAAATGTGAAAGACGCTCTTCTGCTCGAACAATTTTTTCTTTCTCGACAGACCCTCTCTCACTAGCTGGCTCATCTTATAACAGTGATTGAGCCCATTGTGCAAAATAGAAAACAAAACACAAATAAAATGACGAAAGAAAGACGATCATCATCACTCTTAATAAACACGAATATCGTTGATTTCGGACGGAATCTTTTATTTTATTCTATTTTGAACGAACAAAATAAAAACGAGACTTTCAACAGCGCATTCGCCATAATGCTTCTGCTCTTTCTTTCCATCTCTCTTTGGCTTAGCACACCTCATTTATACAACACATCATCCATTTTCCACTTCGGCTTCTGTTATTGTCTGCCGAATGCCTGTTGATGGTTTTTCAACATTTTACAATGAACTTCTTTTGCCAAACGATACAAACGATATATGATTTGGATACATGCTGTTCATGACTTATAAAATATGAACTTAGAGCTATTCATGTGTGGCATGTAAGTGTCTTTATTGCTGCTGCTTCTAGTGTCAGTTCCATTTGGATGGTTCACATGAGTACTCTCACATTTTGCAAAATCGTTTTTCGCACAACTGCTGTTTTGGTATTCGGTCGCAACAGTTGCGATCGGTACTTGGCCAAAGTGCTGTTCGCCAGAGAAATATGGAAATTGATAGAAAATCCCATCAAATTACTTTGAAACGCGCAATGTGAGAAAGAGTCGTAAATGCCATTTCAATCGGCCATCACTTAGTTTGGACATAGAAATGCGAACGATGGTGATGAGAACCACACAGCGCCAAGCCGATTTGTTGCTTTCTAAGCGATTTTAAGAATACTGTTCAATTGTTAAGTGTACACACGTCGCGACGTAATGACGGCAGCTTGGCTGTACATGGTAATTTTGGTATTTTGTTTGATTTTGCATGTCATTTGGGCAATTCGGAAAAAAAAAAATTCGCGGCTAACTTTTTTCTCGTACGCAAATGGTTCACATTTTAATGACCACATCGACGTATGTTACCTCATTGCTCTTCCCAAAAACAAAAACAGCCTCGTCACTTTTTTTCGCTATCTAAGTCACCCGTGGCGTCTCGACTTCGATCTGACCGAAAGTGTCATCTACTTGAAACGGTATTTAAATCTCATGTCAGCACAACAGCAAGAAACAACGATCGATAAAATACGATTTAAAACGATCAAAACATCTACTCAGTTCACGCTTTCATAGGTGTGTGTGTGATTGCAACCAAGAAAGAAAAAAACGTGGAATCGCTGTATCGAATAGGATAATTGCGGAATAAGTTTGTAGCTCATTATTCACGTTATGTTTTCTTTTCTCGGTTCAAAATGTGATTATTGTTATTATGTTTGAGCGGCCACTTCATTTGACTATTTGCAATTTTAGTTTTCCTTTCGCCCGGGCGTGGGCATTTCTTTTGCACCTCTTTATGAATTTAATTTGAATTTTTCGCGCATAACAAAACCTGAACTACGATAATTTCCGATTGTTTTTATTTCTGTTTGGTTGTTTGGCTTCCAATTTGTTGCTGGTTTTGCGCCAATTATGGTGCGCGCGAATGCTCGCTTGCTCGCCCGATCGTTTGAAATGGAAATTGAAGAAAGAATTGAAACAAATTTCCAAATCAAAAGACAGTTGATTATTATGTTTTGTGATGTGGCTACTGGGTGCTACTGTTAACGTGATCACACTTTTTTCTAATTTGATACCTGTTACGGTGGCAATTTTAACGAATGAATTGTTGCGGCCAGCGACACCTTAGCGTGTGCGAGTGTATGTATGAAGGAATTGGTTTCTTTTTTCGCTGCGTTTTCTAATCAACCAGTGATTTTTACGTTCAATGAACCTCGTCTGTTTGGGCGCTGTTTACTTTTGTCAATTTCACGGTTCTGCACAATCAATCTCAGCGGCCAATCACCTATCCTTTGATGAAATTAGATTGGGAAAAACGCGATGGCGAAAGTCCATTGTCCAAATGGAGAGAATTCTATGGAAATCGACTAGTTGATTTGATTTGTTTTGATTTAATTTAATTCATGATCAAGCGAAAAACCAAATAGTATCAAGAAACTTGATCGCATTGAATTGTGACGCTTTTCTCTCGTTCGTGCTCGACCTCTATCATTCTTATCAATTCAAACCGTAATCACAACCGAAATATTTATCCACTAAAAACATAATCCTTTCTTTTTTCGTCTCTCTCGCTCGCATCGTTATCGGTCGAATCAATCGGTGCGCATAATTTCTTTGATTTCTTTTGGCATTCTGAGATATAACGAAGTGAGCGAAAAGATATCCACTGAATAAAACAAACTGGAATGATGATGAAAACACATAACGCTTTTGAGCACATTAAACATTTCTGGAAATGGTGTCATAGCGCGCATGCTTGCTTTTGGGTGATTTTTGAATGTGTTCATGCGCCTAAAATAACGAAATTGTAATTTTTTACATCTTGAAATGTTGTTTTTTTTCTTCTTCTGTTGATTTTGGGATCTTCCAACGGTATTCGGTACAGAATTTCGGTAATGATTATACACGCAACGTACTCGGTGAGCACACGCTCACAAATCCACACATAACCATTTCGGCGTCAAAGAGGCGCGCAACACTTTTATTACGGGGCCTTTTTTTATTGCTGTCGACGATTCCGGTCAAAATTAAAAACGTACACTTGAAAATTGATAAAGACATGATTCGACATCGGGCATGTTTCTTCTTCTGACTTTTCATCGTCATAGCCATCATCATTGGTATGTATGCCATGGCATCTCTCGTTCTGATTTCAGCATCGACTTGATTTCCGATTTTCCATGAATTTTCGCTCGGTGGTAATAATAATGATGATGGTTATGGTGATGTTGATTATTGTAAACCACTACAATTATGCCGCACTAAGTATAGGCCATCAGCCAGAGAAGCATCACCTCACCGATGAGCGAAGCGGCAGTAGCCGAAAATCACACTAGCACACCAAATCAATAAAATATGAACGGCAAAACGAAAATAAAACTATTGATAGAATCGAGCACAAACATTCGATACGTTACAATGAGCATAGATTTTTGTCGTTTCTTCTCTTTTTTTCGTTTTACGCTTTAGACCTTTCAACGCGATTTGTATTTTTTTTCTTGTTTTTTTTTTTTGCTTCGTTTCGACCAAATAAAGTTTAACATGATTTTTCTTTCTAGCGCGTTGTTTTTTTTCGCGTGTACTGGATTTGGCGTCATGTGCAATCGAGAAATGGATCGCTTTAAATTGAAACTGTGTGTGAGTATTCAATATATCGATGGTAAAAAGAGAAAATTCACAAAGAATACTTGAATGAAGAGAGAAAAGGTTGAGAACTTACCGTTTGCATATCCAATTAACCATATTATTCCAAATATCGTAAAATAATTGATTTGTAAATTTTGTCTGTGATACATTTTCGTTGGATTGTTTATTTGATGGTTTTATTTTTTTATGTGTTCGTTCTAGTTTCGCAATTTGCAATTGGATTTTTGTGGATCGAGAGCGTTTCGTTTTCTCTATATATTTCCGATAGAGTGATCACGTCTATGGCAGAATGGTGATTTGATGTGGAATTTCGTATGTAATCCTCAAATGTCGATAGATTTGTCGATTCTTCTTCTCTCTCTCTCTTTTTTCGTCGTATTTCGTTTTCAATGTTTGTTCATCGGTCCAATATGCGACTGATCATACGTGGATCAGCATTCTGAAACACTTAAATTTGAAACACTAAATCGGTTATTTATCGATCTGATAACGGAACTGCGTTGTCCACATTTTTCAAAGTGATAAAAAGTATTTCACGAATTTTGATTGCCTTCAGACACTTCACTTCGTCTATTTGATACAAAAAAAAAAAAATTTCTTAGGTCAATGCGGCACCACTTTATCTTCACCTGCTAAGCATTCTCACGGTATTCTCTTTTTTCGATAAGTGTCACACACACGTCACTCCTGAATAGATGAGTCACGAATATGGTCGGAGTGCGCTTCGAAATCACCCACACAAAACAATACAGGAGAAAATCAAACAGTGCACAGGCCGGGAGACAATCTCAACTGCAATTGTGCTATCAACTGACACCAAAAAAAACAATAGATCGAAATATTAGCGGCAATTTGTTGCTTCTTTCACAGTATTTGGTCGGTATTAATGAATTCTGTGCTATTTCCAATGGCAAATCGTATTTGTGTCTATTTCCCCGTATTCTTCGTCGTCGCTTTTTTTTAATTCGTTAACTTAAAATTTTCTTTCTCTCTCTTTTTGGACCGCTCGTTGGAAACCATTCACAACTGTGTACACACATACCAAGTGGGTAAGAATTTCTCAAATAGAAAGTGCTTTTACTTTGTCGATTTTTTTGTTGGATAAAATGAGTGTTTTTTTTATTTCTTTCTCCGTTCGCAGTTGCTGGCTGCTGTTGTTGAGATGTAGCTCGATCGAAAATTTCTTCTTCGTCGCCGTTGTTGTCGTCGCTACTTTTCTGTTGGTTATCGCGCGTCGCCACACTATCGAAGACACAGAAAAATTCAAAAATTTCTTTTTAGCTCTTGTGAACGCGCTCGCGCACCAGAGAGATGTATTCCTCTCGTTGTGCTTCGTTTCGCTGAGAAAATACAATAATGCGTTTCTTCTTGCTTTGCTGTAGTTTGTTATATTTCTTTCGTTTACATTTCTTTCTTCGTTTCCTTCTTTTGACTTGATATTCGTTGGCTACGGGTACCGTGCTTCAACTGTGTGCACAGCAGAGAACTCTTTCGTATATGAAGAGAAATATCAAAATGCGTCCGCTCTTCAAGAAATCTCAAAGTCGACTAAATATGAAAACCCATCGATTCACCGTTTTGCAGCAGCAGCAGCAGCAGTGGCGGCGGCAGTGTAGCAAGCTAGCGCGATCGCGAGCAACGAGCTCAGCCAAATATACCGTTGTACACATTCAGCGAGTATGTTACCGCTTAGTTTTGTGAAATGTTGTTGTTGCTGTTGCTGTTTTGTTATGTTTATTTCCAGCTTGTTGTCGTCGTCATCGTCGTCGTTTCGGATTTCTTCATTGTTCGACAAAATGTGTGCTTCGCTACCATATTCTTGTGTAGCCGCTTTTTACCTGTCGTTTTTTTTCTTTCTTTCTCCTTTTTTTTGGTTGGTGAGTGAGTGCAGCACGGCATTGCGAGCGTTGATGATGAGCAACAAAGCAGCGATCTGGAGGAAACATAGTGTTGTGTATGGTGGAACACTCTTCCATCGTTCATGTGAATGAATCACATTGTTTGGCAAGTCGGTGGCTTTCGAGGCGGTGTGGCTATGCGTTGCGGTTGCATTGAATGCGTGTGCACAATAAATGTAAAAGACTTTTAATCTTAATTCCGCTTTCTTCTAATGACCGCTGTTGCATTCAAGCTGACAAATTGATACGTTTAAGTAGCGATTTAAGTCATCCACATTTCGACATTAAAAGAGTAATTTTCATTTTGATTCGCACACACTCACATTCACATGGTACGGTACAAAAGAACTATGATCTAAGAATGGGAATTCTGCAATTTTGAAAGAAGGAAGTATAAGAGAGTATTGTTTTTTCTATGGTGCAATTTTGTTTGTTGCGGTCGCCGAAATGAAAAACAAACCTTCCGGTTGATTGGCAGATTTAATCATTAAAAATGCATTAAAGTTGCTCTAGCATACACACGCGCGCGCTTGTATTCTACGCGAAAAAAAAACCACATTACCAATTTTCATCGACGGTGTGAACCAAAATGGGATTATTAATTCACTTGTGGCCGAACGGTGCAAAATATACAATATTGCCAAGTAAAAAAGTACTAACAAGACCTTAACTAGCCCCATGTTTGCTACCATAATTTTCAATTGTCAATGTAATAATTTACGGTATCCAATCAAAATGGCAAATACCTAATGATATTAACACTTTTCCAAACGGTATCGAGCAACTGTATCGATCGCTTGCTTGATTGTTGTCAAATCGAAAGAAAAAGGGACCTGTGCGCATTCGCTCGCTCGCTCGTTTGCTTGCCGCAACCAATTGTTGCATTCAATAGGCAATGCATTTTCAATCCCGCGCACTCCTTTGCAACATAAAGAAAATATCTTTCTCAGTATGGCAGTTGACAGGTATTTTGCAAAGTGAACAAGAGAAAAATGAATGAACGGTTTTTATTGGAGCGATATGTGATACATATTAAGTTGAATATGTATTTTTCTTCTCTCTTTGCGCAATAGCAAAAAGCAGTGCGCATTCAAATCCAGGGGGAGAGAGAGAGAGAGACTGGAAAGAGAAAAGAAAACGAGAAATAAATCGAAACGACCGCTGAATTCCTTAGTAATCTTAGCGGTGCATTCGATACTTAGTTAGATTATTTATTAGCTATGCACGATGCGCTTAGCACACGGGGCAATCGAAGCTAAAATAGCAGCTTTTGCTCCATATATTACTCTATACATTGGTGATCGGTGAATGCGCGCGCGCACGCTCGCCTGCCAACAGAAAAAAACTCGTTCGTGAATTTCTCTAATCGGCGAAAGAATGAAAATGGCAACACGTACAAAAATTATAGACCAGAAAGTGTATGTGCGTGTGAGTGTTTGTGATCGGCAGCAAGTTTATATATGAGACTCTTTAGATTTCTTGTCACAAATCACTCAGCCATTACCATTTTTGAGATAGGATTTCATTTCCATATCATAAAAAACGCTTTTCTCTCGCTCTCACGTGCTCACACCGACTCTTTCACCATTCAGTATTCACGTCAACGCAGTACGCGCATTTGTTTTGATTTGAAAGCCCGGAATGTTGCACTTTTCATCGAAGCAATACGAGTTTGCTGGGCGCAGTGTGTTTATTATTTTACGATTCGCCTTGCAATGTTAATATCACATCAATATGGAGTTATTCTGTGTGCATGCATTTCGATTCTACTTCATTTTTTTCGTTCGTTCGTTGTTTTGTTCAAGAATGAACATTAAGGCAGAAGAGAGAAACATTCCAGATCTTTCGTTTTGTTTTTTCATTTGTCGTTTTGTTTTCGCCATAAACAAGCTGAACTTGTTTAAATCGGAACGGTTGTTTGGGCGGTTGTTCTTGTGTGTTGTTGGCGGCGGCAGCAGCTTAAGATGAAGAAGTAAAAAAAAACGAGCCGATGAAGAAAATATTTTCTTGGAAAACCGATTCGAAAACAAGTGGATTTATTGCATACCATCCAAATGAAGAGAGCACACACAGTGCACGCACACGCTTCCTCTGCATTTTGGTTGAAATCATCTGAAATTTCATCTGAAATGGGTATATTTATAATAAATTATGAAATTTTTTTTTGTTTTCTTTGAAAAATGAAACTTGTTTCGGTCGCACGCATTTCCATCCGGGGGCCACAATTTTATGTGCTTTATATGGGAATTCGGTGGTGCCCCATAACATTTAATAACAATCGAGAGTAGTCGTGCCAAGATTCATCGAACCGCGGTGAAAGAGCACAATAAATCCAGGGAAAAATATCTGATTTTAATCGCAACGGAAAATTGAAAATTGTACGTAATTATGGTGTGCGTCCAGTGTCTTTCGGCGCATTATTTTGGGTTTGAATCAATATCAAGTCAGCTGATACACAAAGAGATCACAGTCAAATCGGATTGGATTTTCCTTTTCGAGAGACAATTTCAATATGACTTTAGCCCAACATATCTGATGATGACTGATGCAACGGAACAATCATTTCAATCCGTTCGAATGTTATTACCGTCAATTTCGATGAAACTGAAACGATTCGATAAAATTAGTCACACTCAGACGGGCTAATAATGTATGCGGGCTAAAATTATCATTGCTTTCTGCAATCATTATGGAAATGATAGATGATTCAAGCGAATTGACGAACCCAGTTTGCGTAGAAAAAAACAAAACAAAACCAAGCGGCCATAAAAAGTGAAAGATGTCAAGTTGCTAAAATGAAATGGCGATTAGATTTAGCCATTACTTTTTCCACAGCAAAAATCGATTTGTAAACAGCTCTGAGTCATCATGTGATACACATTATCAATTGAAAAAAAAAATCGGTCGTTCATTCGTTCGATGGCTCGCAAAAAGAAAGCAATTGGTTTTTTCGGATTTGCATGGTGGCCAAGAGCCATTGCAATCTGTCATAGTCATAATCTGCACGGTGAAACGCGCTCGGTGCGCCGCGATTATGAGCACGAGTAAACGGTGTCGAGAGATTTTCTGTGCACTTTACACCGTCAACAAATAAAATACAAACAAGTTCTTGCTGATGGAAGGGTAAATATATGCACTTTTCGTTTTCATTTTTCAGGTCATTCCGTTCGGTTCGGTTCGTGTTCGTCGCTCTTTTAGCATAAAACACCGATGCGGATGTTTACCTTTTCACATTTCATTCTCACTGCCGTTGCTTTCTTCCGTCACAATACAAAGTCATTCAATGGGCTCAGCTCGGTTTCATTTCTCAAGCAACAGGCGTGATTTTATTCATTTCAAAGAAGACGAGAAAAAAAAGCATCAGGAAAAAAGAGACTTCGTTTAAAATCATTTTCTCAATACAAGAGTTTGAACGTTGAATCCATAAATTCACGATTATTCAAAGGAAATGCCGGTTCTGCTATTGCATGCAAAAGCCAGTGAATCACGATTATTCAATCACTTTAGCGGATGAACATTAAAGCTGATGTTGATGCATCGCCGTTTTTTTTTGAGTGGAATGGCATCATCATGATTTATAATCGGTCTCAATGTGCTGATAACACCAATAATAAGCGAGTTAACGGGTTTTTCTCTCTCTCTCTCTCGCTCTCTTCTTCTTTCGACAATCGGTTTGACCGAAATTCCAAAATTTCTTTTTTGCATAACTTTAAAATATGAGCCAGTTGATCGAATTGCCCCGGGAGATGAATCAATTATGTCTCCTTTTTTCGGTAATACGTCGCCTTGGCAATACTGGCTGAGAATGAATTGGTTTTTTTCCTTGTTGGCTCTTTCTGGTTTACACATAATTAATTTAAATTCGTGTGCGATTTTTCGTTTTTTTTTCACCGTTTCAATGTTGTGCGTCGCACACGTATGTGAGCTTTGACGCACATAAACCATTTTAAAACTGGGGTTCGTCGTCCCAATTAAGTCTATTGTTCTCGGATATTGTTTTGGCTGTTACAATCAATTTTTCATTAGCATGGTGGACAAAAAGAAATCAAATGCGTCATATGAGTGTGAATTTAGTGTCGACGTTCCAAATCTTGTTATGGCGAAGAAAAATTGGAACTTTTCGTGATATGAATAAAAGTGTACGTGCTCGGTACACTGTGATTAATTTCGACATTTGACAAAATTCCATATTTGGCGGAGGGAAAAGCAAACGCAGGTGCAAACGAAACTGAAATTTAATCAGAATTAACGCGACCATTGTTGACTAATTCGATTTCGAAAAAACAACAACAACAACAGCCGAACTAGCTATGACTCAGACAAAATCATGCGCAAATATTCACAGACAGAGTAAATAAAATATTTTCCGTGAAAGTTATGAATGCGAGCGAAATGAATACGCGTGAGCTCGCGCCCTGTGTTCGCACATTTATCGGATGAAATGGTTGTTAGTTTTTTTTATCATATCCAAAATGAAACATGTGCATAAGCAAACTGTTGCCGCGTCATTTCTTTAGTCGTTTTGCGTGATTAATTGATACTGTTTGTGGCTTTAATGTTAGCAATCTTGTAGGCTTTTCTCATCATCAAAAAACATTAATTACACGGCCCGGTTTTCGTTTCGATTTAATCATGCGATTAAGAGGTGAGAGAGAGAGAGAGAGAGAGAGAGATGCCCGGCGATTGAACGATGAACGATGCGGAAGAGTTGC